CTCTGCCAGTCCAGGGTCCAGACCCTCAAAGTTCATGATGACGATGGCAGCTTACACCTATGTCACACCCTCCCTTACCACCGTCCCTTTAGACGCCTGACCCAACCTTCAGCAAGACAGCACCGGTGGGCCTAGAATGGACATCCTGGCCTGTAAGGGGAAAGAGGTAGCTGAGTCAAGGGTAGGTTCAGGTACTGGTACGTAGGATCTTCTAAGTTATGGGGCAGGAGGGAGATGAGGCAGGCATGAGGGATGAGACTGCCAGCCAAAGGAGGAAGCAGGCAGGGGAGGGATGGGCAGTGGGGGTGGAAGTGGTAGAACTGTTGTCCCTATCTCTCCTCCGCTAGGCCCTCTGTACTCTCCACCACCCCAATATCTAACCTAATCCTTGACTTCCCTTTCTTCTCACTTTGGACTGCTCACTTGCCTGGTTCAGCCCTGAATCATCAGGTGAAGGGAGCGAGAACTGCAGGGGTTGGCGTTAGGTAGAGGGATCTAAGGTGCTTTCTCCCAGAATTGGGGGTGAGGATGGATGGGTTGGACAGTGGGGAGAACGAGAAGTCAGTTTCCCAGAATCCTCTCCAATAGCTACCTAGGATTGCCCAGAGGAAAACAATAATGGCCAGTTACCCACAATTGGGGCGGGGGCAGGGGAAGGTGGTGGAAACGGCTAGTTACCCAGAATTCTCTGGGGGAATCAGAGAAATCGGTTATCCAGAATTCTCCCACGGCGGCGGCGAGGAGGGGGATAGGGCAAGGGTCAGATGTGTTCCTGGGATGCTTACGGGGAATGGGTCATTACCAAGATTTCTCCATGGCGGATATTTTGGAGCGCGTGGAATTACAACGAGTAGGGGGAGCGCAAGCGCTGTCAGCTCCGCGGGAAATTCCAGTTTCCCCAGTTCTCCCCCACGCCTAGCGCCTCAACCTAACCACTACGGCGCCAAGGACCGGACTCCCAGGCGCGCCTTCCAATCAAGAAGGGCTCGGGGCACATTTAAGCCAATCAGAAGGACTCCGGGCGCATCTAAGCCAATCAGAAGGAGCCAGGTACGGCGACTCCAGGAGAGAGCGTGTGACGCAGGCGCCGGAAACAGAGGTTACGGGGCGCCGGTGGGACAAACGCAACCAGACGCCGGATTTGTTACGTGGCGTTAAAAAGTAACTCTTTTTAGTCTTCTTGAACAAAATTACGTCTAGAGTTGGAAACCAAACTTTTATGCTTTCTATAACTTTAGGAACTCTAAAATAAGGGGCACCCAAGGCAAAGCACTAGGAGTCGATGTTGGGTATTCCCGGCGGGACTTCGTCCACCTCCTCTCCCTGCGTTGCTCTTGTGAGCCACTCCGCCACCTCTGACCATGTTGCCCCCGAAACTCGCTGGCATTTCCTATCATTTCTAGATATGGGAGAGAAAAAAAGGAAGCGGGAGCAGGATTCTTGACCCAGTCCAAGTGGCTGCATCTTCTACAGGCATCCATCTGAAACTCCCATCCGTGATTGTTCCCTCCCCAGAGACCCCGGTAACATTCCCGGGTAACAGGATGCCCCTGGTTATCAAATTCCCCTAGCTCTTGAGGCTGGCTGAACGTTATCCCTCAGAGGGGGATGAGCCTGGCAAATTGAGACTTTTGTTATTCTGAAGAATTCGTGGATCCTGTGAACTCTAATTGCTTTGAAATGGGTCCAGGTTGTGAGATGTCTCAACTTTAGCTTAGCTGTTATTACTGTTTCTAAAGGTCACATAAAGGGACTCTGATGGGAGACATTTCATGGAGGATTCAATTCTATAACATTTCTCTCTCAATAAAGGCTGGTAAATAGACCTTCATTAAAGGACCCAAGAATTTAAATTTCCAGGACTCAGAGGGGTGGGGTCCTATACCCAGTCAGAGGTCCTAAATCCTAGACCGAGAGAAAAAGACACATGGTCTCTCAAACTGATTTGATGTGACTTTGCAGGTCATTAGATGTAAAATCTCCGAAAAAGGTGGGTGCTGAGAGACCTAGACAGTTCCTACACTTTAAGAAATCTCCATCTTGAGGTCTCGAATTGAGAAAGACTTAACAGACCCATGAGAGTTACAGATCCTAATAACCTGGGCTAAATAATCTATGTCCGCCGGGCTCAGTAGCTCACGCCTGTAATCCCAGCACTGGGAGGCCGACGCGAATCACCTGAGGACAGGAGTTCGAGATCAGCCTGACCAACATGGAGAAACCTCGTCTCCATTTAAAATATAAAATTAGCCGGGCCTGATGGCGGGAGCCTGTAATCCCAGTTACTTGGGAGGCTGAGGCAGGAGAATCGCTTGAACCGGGGAGGGGGAGGGTGCAGCAAGCCGAGATGGCACCATTGCACTCCAGCCTGGTCAATAAGAGCGAAACTCCGTCTCGAAAAAAGAAAAGAAAAAAAAGGATACTGTGAGGAGACACAAGAGCATCCATGACATAGATTATTTAGCTCAGCTGTTATTACTCTTTGTAATACAGTAATATTAGATCGTGATTCGCCCGCCTCGGCCTCCCAAAGTTCTGGGACTACAGGTGTGAGCCACTGCGCGCAGCCTTTTTTTTCTTTGATATGGGGTCTCACTCTGTTGCCCATGCTTAAGGGCATTGGCCCTCTCACTCACTGTAGCCTCAACCTTCTGGGCTCAAACGATCCTCCCACTTCAGCCTCCCAAGTAGCTGTAACTACAGGCATGGGCCACCAAACCCAGATAATTTTTTTTTTTTTTTTTCCTGTAGAGGTGGGGTTTCGCCACATTGCCCAGGCTGGTCTTGAACTCTTAAGCTCAAGCGATCCTCCTGCCTTGGCCCCCCAAAATTCTGGCATTACAGGCATGACCATACGTGGTGTACAGTATCCAATGTAATGCAGTGATTAAAAACTCAGGGTCCAGGCAGGGATGGTGGCTTGTGCCTGTAGTCCCAGCTACTCAGGAGGCTGAAATGGGGGGGATCACTTAGTGGTGGTGGTTGCAGTAAACGGAAATGCAACTGCATTCAGGCCTGGGTGACAGAGTGAGACCCTGTCTCAATAAAACCCCCCAAAAACCAAGAACAAAAAAGAATGCAGGATCTGACGCTAGATTGTCTGCATTAGAATTCTAGCCACTTAAGCCGGGTGTGGTGTCTCACCCCTGTAATCCCAGTACTTTTGGAGGCCGGAGGCAGGTGGATCACCTGAGGTTGGGAGTTCGAGACCAGTCTGACCAACATGGAGAAAGCTCGTCTCTACTGAAAATATAAAATTAGCCATCCCTAATTAGCACCCATGGCGCATCCCTGTAATCCCAGCTACTTGGGAGGCTGAGGCAGGAGAATCGCCTGAACCTGGGAGGCGGAGGTTGAGGTGAGCGAAGATGGTGCCATTACACTCCAGCCTGGGGGACAGAGCAAGATTTTGTCTCCGAAAAAAAAAAAAAAGGAATTCTAGCCACTTAGAAGCTCTGTGAACTTGGGCAAATTGCTTATCTCTGCACCTCAGCCTCCTCATCTGTAATATAGGGTAATAATAGTATCTACCTTAAAGGGTTGTTGTGAAAATTAAATAGTTTAGTACATGTAAAGTGCTTAGACAAAGTACTTGGCATTAAGCGAGAGTTGGATATATATTAGCCATCATTATTAACCACCTGGGGGAACTTCAGCTGATTTGGAGTCTAGGCGTACAACTGGAAAGGCCTGCCTAGGAGTGTCTTGTGAATGTGATTTGCATAACGGTCTAGGCCCAGCTGACGTCAAGGGCTCCTTATAGCTCCAGGTCAGTTGTAGCCCTGGATGTAGTTCCTGCCACTCAACAGTCCCACAATCTCCCCACCAACCCTGCTTCCTACCCAACTACTGCAGCACCAGGAAGTGAAACAAAGAGGCAGAGCCCTGTGCCTCCAACTCACCCTTGTCCCTCTCATCCCATCCCCCAGGCTCTACTTCCTCCTCCTTTTCATCTTTCTTTCATCTCTTATCTTTTAGGGCTCCCAGAATGGGGACCAGAGATGGGAAGAGCAAAGGAGACGTTGTACACAAGTAAGGTGAACTCCCTATCCTGCCCCCTCCCATTTCCTATTCCATTTGTGTCCATCTTATTAGGGAGAAAGGCAAATCAATTCTCACCCAAACTCAGATAATTCTCTGATGCCGGAAATGTTTAATCTAAAGGGGTAGTTTTGTTTTGTTTTGTTTTATAAGACAGAGTCTTGCTCTGTCACTCAGGCTGGAGTGCAGTGGTGTGATCTTGGCTCACTGCAACCTCTGCCTCCCAGGTTCAAGCGATTCTTTTGCCTTAGCCTCCCGAGTAGCTGGGACTACAGGTGCCCGCCACCACGCCGGCTCTTTTTGTATTTTTAGTAGAGACAGGGTTTCACCATGATGGCCAGGGTGGTCTCGAACTCCTAACCTCATGATCCACCTGCCTCAGCCTCCCAAAGTACTGGGATTACAGGCTTGAGCCACCATGCCTGGCCCTTGGTAGGTTTAACTTAGAACCACAATATTTTTTTTTTTCTTCTCTCAGCTCATACCTACAGAATCATAATATTTGAACTAGAAGTGTCATTGGGCAGTTTTGAATAGTTCTAAGGGAAGGGAGACCTCCATTCAGGACAAATTTCTCAGAAGAAAAGGGTCAACCTCTTGGGAGAGGTGATGGGAGCCAGCTGTGTGGTCACTGATGGCCTCATTCTGACGTCTTCGAAATTGTTCTGGGACCCTCCACTAGGGTCGGGGCAGTCCCGGCTTTGGACCACCTTCCACTCCCACGCCCAACCTCACACTCTTAGCTGTTTCACTTGATGTTGCATCATGGAGGGTGATGAAATCAGTGTCAGTGGATTTTACCCATGGATGCAACAAGCTGAAGGACCAGCCAGAGTCATTGACACTGCACCTTCGACTACCCAGAACTCCTGAGCTTCCTAGCCATGGGGTCCAAAGCCGGGACTGCCCCAACCCCAGTGGAGGGTCCCAGAACAATTTGGATGACATCAGAATGAGGCCATGGGGCTAAGTGCTGGAATGTCTAAGTTGAACTTCCAGGCCTTATTTACACTAGTCCAGAAAAAAACATCATCCAACTCTTATAGAGCCTATGAAATCTTGGGCCACTAGGGTTGAAGAATCAGGTGGTTCTTAGTCAATAAACCCCTTCCCACAAGAGCCTTTCTAACCTCCACTGTGAGGCCTGAAATGGGGAGCAATAAGACTTCATACTGGCTTCCCAGTTCTCCAAGTTCCTTCATGCCCATTCTCTCCTATGAAACCAGGACCATCCAGTTGAAAATAATGCTGTTTCCAACTGAGAAAAAGAAGCCCATTTATTCCTAATAGAGGGCATCAGGTAGGAATCAAACTTCATTGCAAACAGCTCACCATCCTATTGGGAGATGAATGAATGTTTCTCTGTTTTGTTTTTTCCTCAAGCAGGAGGAAGTGAGGAAATTAGGTTTGGGGTGGGGTAGGGGTATAGCTTTGAGAGGCAAAAAGATCAGGGAAAGATCAAACAGGAAGGAACTTGAGACCAGATTGATTTAAGTATTTGTTCTCCCTTCCCCCCTCCCGCCCCATCCCTGCTGTGCACTCCCCGCCGCCCCCCATCCCCGCCCCTTCTACAGCCATTTCAATTCCTGGAGAGCATTACACATGTGTCCCATCCCAGGCCTCTAGCCACAGCAACCACACGACTCATTTCCCCTGGAACTGAGGCGGCATACCTGGGCTCCCCACAGAGGGGGATGATGCAGGGAGGGGAATCCCACCTGCTGTGAGTCACCTGCTGGTATAAAGGGCGGGCCTTACAATGCAGGGAACTTAAAAGACTCAGAGACAAAGGGAGAAAAACAACAGGAAGCAGCTTACAAAGTCGGTGAACAACTGAGGGAACCAAATCAGAGACGCACTGAACAGAATCAGGCTCAAAGCAAGTGGAAGTGGGCAGAGATTCCACAAGGACTGGTGCAAGGCACAGAGCCAGCCAGATTTGAGAAGGCAAAAAAGATGCTGGGGAGCAGAGCTGTAATGCTGCTGTTGCTGCTGTCCTGGACAGCTCAGGGCAGGGCTGTGCCTGGGGGCAGCAGCCCTGCCTGGGCTCAGTGCCAGCAGCTTTCACAGAAGCTCTGCACACTGGCCTGGAGTGCACATCCACTAGTGGGACACATGGTGAGTGGCAGCCCCTGGAGCCTAACAGGAGTCTCTCCAAGCTCTCCAAGGCTGTGGTAGAAGACTGTGGCCTTGAGTGGAAACTGGAGGGTTGAAGGCCATCAGGGAGTAAGAGAGGGCAAGAGAGTAGGGTTCCTGGGAGAGTCATGGGCCTGAGGGTCAGGTTGGCTTCAAAAGTACTTATCTTACTTCTTCATTCTTTCCACCCCTTCCTCCATTCCAGGATCTAAGAGAAGAGGGAGATGAAGAGACTACAAATGATGTTCCCCATATTCAGTGTGGAGATGGCTGTGACCCCCAAGGACTCAGGGACAACAGTCAGGTACCACTGGGATGTGGCTGGGTGATGAAGGAGAGGGGACTGAGAACATGGCTGGGTACCATGGTAAACCAGAAGATGTGTCTGAAAATAGTAAACTGGGTGAGTCTTCAGTGAATGGAGTAGGAAGAGGATGTCCTCTTTCATTGCTTTCTTCTCTCCCTAGTTCTGCTTGCAAAGAATTCGCCAGGGTCTGATTTTTTACGAGAAGCTACTGGGATCGGATATTTTCACAGGGGAGCCTTCTCTGCTCCCTGATAGCCCTGTGGGCCAGCTTCATGCCTCCCTACTGGGCCTCAGCCAACTCCTGCAGGTATTAAGTAGGGGCCTGGAGGATGGGGGCTTGCAGGTGTCAGAGACAGAGGATTGGGGGTTAAGGGTCTAGAGTCTTCTCTGACTGTGTCCTATGCCCTTTCAGCCTGAGGGTCACCACTGGGAGACTCAGCAGATTCCAAGCCCCAGTCCCAGCCAGCCATGGCAGCGCCTCCTTCTCCGCTTCAAAATCCTTCGCAGCCTCCAGGCCTTTGTGGCTGTAGCTGCCCGGGTCTTTGCCCATGGAGCAGCAACTCTGAGCCCCTAAAGCCAGCAGCTCAAGGATGGCACTCAGATCTCCATGGCCCAGCAAGGCCAAGATAAATCTACCACCCCAGGCACCTGTGAGCCAACAGGTTAATTAGTCCATTAATTTTAATGGGACCTGCATATGTTGAAAATTACCAATACTGACTTGACTTGTGATGCTGACTTATAAGGTTGAGTATTTATTAGATGGGAAGGGAAATTTGGGGATTATTTATCTTCCTGGGGGCAGTTTGGGGAGGATTATTTATTGTATTTATATTGAATTATGTACCTTTTTCAATAAACACTTATTTTTGTGGCTATATGAGTCTAATTTCTAGGCTCAATTGGGAAAGAGAAATTGATGGAAAAATAAGGCCAAGGGACTACAATATGCATCCCTTTCTTCTATTCTGAAGGGCTATGGTGGAGAGAGAGATTTTCTCATGACCCCCTGGTGTATAGAATAACTGGGATCTCTTTAGTATTAATTCCTATATGGCTGAGCAAGCAGAATGGGATTACCAGATTAGGAAGTGGGGTTATACCTAAGGGTCACTTGCTCCCTGATCCAGTGTCTCCTTCCCTGCTTTCTTGGCCAAGGGTGTATCTGGCCAAAGACAGGAGTCCTGATCACTGCAGGATCAAAAGTCAGAGTTCAGTTTTGAGCAGGAAGGGCATTCCAGGAAATGAAGGTAAATATCCCGGAACAATGGGACTGTCCCCTCAAAGGACATTTGGAGTCCCTTTGTTTCTTTTTTTTGAGATGGAGTCTCATTCTGTCTCCCAGGCTGGAGTGCAGTGGCGTGATCTCGGCTCACTGCAACCTCTGCCTCCCAGGTTCAAGTGATTCTCTTGCCTCAGCCTCCCGAGTAGCTGGGACTACAGGCACATACCACCACGCCTGGCTAATTTTTGTATTTTTAGTAGAGACAGGGTTTCATCATGTTGGTCAGGCTGGTCTTGAACTCGTGACCTCAGGTGATCCACCCGCCTCAGCCTCCCAAAGTGCTGGGATTACAGGCATGAGCCACCACGCCCAGCCTTGGAGTCCCTTTGGAAGTTTGGTAACTCAAGGGTAGCTGAAATTCTTTGAAAAAAGAAAAGACGAAGGGAAGTGGCTAGTGATTATTTCCTTTCCTCTTTTTCCATAGTCACAGCATCAAAAATTGTGGGCTTTGAAGTCAGACAAATCCAGACAGGTTCGTGTCTTGGCTTTGCCAACAATCAGCTGAGTGACAATGAAACAGTTATATAACTACTCATCCCTCCCCCCACAATGCATATATACCTCCCAGCACCCCTAGAAGAGTCTAAGGGACAGGAGGGGCTACTCCAAACAGAAAGGGAAGAAGAAATATGACAAGAGGAACATAGAGGGGTGGAAGAGAGGTCACAATTTTCTGACTTTATTCCTGTGCAGCTTGTTGGTATCCCTTTGTGAGCAGAGAAATAAAAGAGGTTCAGAGATGAGACATTTCCAGATCAGCACAAAGTTTATTAGCCATTTCTACTCAGAAGAGCCCCCTTCTGAACAGGACTGTTCCTCTGACATAACAGACAAGAAACAGCCACCTGTGCAGGGCCTTTCATTTATATCTCAAGCTACATCAGGAGGACATCTTACAGCAATGTCAGTTGCCCCCTGGGGTTCCCTGGGAATAGCTAAGATGTGAGATTGTCCAGAGTCCTATGACAGACCTTTAGGGTTTTAAGTTCCACAGACTAGGTCTTTGTCCAGGTCCACAACCAAGGAATAGAAACCTTCCTTTCAGGTAAACAACATATTGCACAAAAAAGGGGGGGATTATAACATAATAGAGAAAGAGCTAAGACCCATTGCTTCTCCTCTGTAAAAACACCAAACTTTATCCAATACTATAAAAAGAAATTCCTGCCAGACATGGTGGCTCACGCCTGTAATCCCAGCACTTTGGGAGGCCAAGGTGGACAGATCACCTGAGGTCAGGAGTTCGAGACCAGCCTGACCAACATGGAGAAACCCCATCTCTACTAAAAATACAAAATTAGCTGGGCATGGTGGTGCAGATCTGTAATCCCAGCTAATTGGGAGGCTGAGGCAGGAGAGTCACTTGAACCCGGGAGTCGGAGGTTGCAGTAAGCCGAGATCACACCATTGTACTCTAGCCTGGACGAGAGAAACTCCATCTCAAAAAAAAAAAAAAAAAAAAAAAAAAATTCCTGGCCGAGCGCAGTGGCTCATGCCTATAATCCCAGCACTTTGGGAGGCCAAGGCGTGAGGATCACTTGAGTCTAGGAGTTTAAGACCAGCCTGGGCAACATAGCAAGACCCTGTCTCTAAAAAAAGAAAAAAAAATAGGGCATGGTGGTGCATGCCATGGTCCCAGCTACCCAGGAGGCTGAGGTAGGAGGATTGCTTGAACCCAGGAGGTTGAGGCTGCAGTGAGCTGTGACTGCACCACCGCACTCTAGCCTAGGCAACAGAGTGAGACCCTGTTTCAAAAAAAAAAAAGCAATTCCTAAATTCCCAGCAATCCTACTATTCCTAGCCTCCAGGAGTGATCTGTCTCCTAAGCATTGAGAAAGTAGAGACCAGGTGGCATAAGCTAGTGTGCAAAGCTTCACAGGCACATTAGATTGGCAGGATCATTTTATGGGAGAGGAACAGGTGCAGCCAGCTTAGGGGCAGAGTAGGGGAGGAGACTGGTAAGAAAAAGAGGTCTACTTCCTATCCATCCCCTTCTTCAGGGTGGAGTTTCACATGGTAGGCTAAGGCAGAAAGCTCTCAACCCCTGCAGGAAAAGAAGAAATTCAGGGATTGAGTCAGGAGTGAAGGAAAGAAGAAAGGAAGTTATCCTAGACATGAAGGAATGGAAGAAAGAAATGGAGTCCTATCCTGTCTGTGCTCCCCACCAAGGGCCAATGCCAGTGTGCACCAGTTTAGCCTAACCAGCTATTAAAATGTTGAAATCCTTCCATACTGAAAAGAAGCCACTGCCCTGAGCCCTCCAAGTACCTGTCAACTGCCCTGGCCTGCCTCCAGGACCCCTATACCTCCCAGCACAGCAGGCAGCCTTCAGGATCCTATTTAGACCTATGGCTTAGCATCTGTTCTGATTCATTGTTGTCCCTTCTGTGCCCATGTTATGCTTTCACCTCTCACTCCAATGGAGTCACACAGGCCTGAGTTTGAACAGTTAACACAGCTTGGAAGGGACACATGCCTGATTCCCATCCTTGGAGAACAACATCATGCTATGAGGAGTAGGAAGGGCAAGAGTTACGAAAAGAACAAAGGAAATGTGGTTCCTAGAAGTCAGAAGGCATCAAAGGTCCATCAGTGTAGAAGTGGCTGGGGCGGGAGACGTAAGCCTCATCCACGGTGTTCTGGCCAGCCAACAGTGGGTCACCATTCGGCATGATTTCTTCAATCTTTACACAGTTTCTGAAGACTAGGTAATCCAGAGAGAAAAGTGAGGCCCTGATCTTAGTTAGGAGTTCCCAACCCAGCAAGGAAAGGGAGGGAGGATGGCAGGAAAGGCCTGGGAAGAGCCTGAGGGGGAACTTGTGGGATCAAAGAGCAGGGAGGTGGGGCAAGGCATGTGTAATTCGAGAAAAAAAAAAAAAAAAAGGAATCACAGAATGGACCTCTCTCCAATGAGGAGCTTGGAGCTCAGTTTTTTCTGTAATGGGAGAGGGAGAAGGGGTAGGAAAGGGAATGTGTGCCGTCTTCCATAGCTCTATTTCATCACTTACTTTCCATTGGCTCAGTGTTCAAATGTCTCAGATCACAGGGCAAATCTGGCTCTGGCACTGGCTGTGACACAGGTCCTCGGTCTGGCTCTGGCACTGTTTGTGATACCATGCATAGTGTGGGCTCCATTACAGGCTCCAGAGTGGACTCCAGCACAGACTCTAGCTCTGGCCCCAGATCCAGCCCTGCCTTCAGCAGTGGCTCTAAGTCGAGGCTGAGCTCTGGCTCTGGCGCCAGCCCTAGTTCCAGCTCTAACGACTCCAGCTCTGGCTCTAGCTTAAGCTCCAGCGGTTGTTGTAGTTCATCCACCTGTCTGGATACCCAAAGACAGACAAAGGGGCAGGGCTCAGTGGTTTAAATGAAAGAAGGAATGGTAGAACAAGAAGCAGCTAGTCTAAGAAGGCAGAAGAGCAGAGGGCTAAAGATCATGGGGTTTGGAATCAGGCCTCCTGGAGTTTGAATCCTGGCATTTACTAGCTGGGGGACCTTAGGCAAGTGTCCTAACTTTTCTGAGCCTCAGATTTATCATCTATAAATGAGAACAATACCTAGTAATTCTTTTTTTTTTTTTTTTTTTTTTGAGACGGAGTCTCGCTCTGTCGCCCAGGCTGGAGGGCAGTGGCCGGATCTCGGCTCACTGCAAGCTCCGCCTCCCAGGTTCACGCCATTCTCCTGCCTCAGCTTCCCGAGTAGCTGGGACTACAGGCGCCCGCCACCTCGCCCGGCTAGTTTTATGTATTTTTTAGTAGAGACAGGGTTTCACCGTGTTAGCTAGGATGGTCTTGATCTCCCGACCTCGTGATCCGCCTGTCTCGGCCTCCCAAAGTGCTGGGATTACAGGCTTGAGCCACCGCGCCCGGCCAATACCTAGTAATTCTTGAGAGGCAGTAGGGTGGTTGAAAGCAGGGCTATGGAATCTAACAGACCTGTATCATTTATTAGCCATGTACCTTAGGTACAAAACTTGACTACTCTAAATCCAGTTCCTTAGCTGAAAACAGTAACAATGTTTACTTCAAAGGACTATTTTGTAGATTCAATAAAATGAGAAAATAAACATAAACCATTTAGCCTAGTGCCTGGCACAAAATAAACTTTCAGACCAGGCATGGTGGCTCACACCTGTAATCTAAGCACTTTGGGAGGCTGAGGCGAGCAGATCACTTGAGGCCAGAAGCTCAAGACCAGTCTGGCCAATTTAGTGAAACCCCGTCTCTACTAAAAATACAAAAGTTAGGCCGGGTACAGTGGCTCACGCCTGTAATCCCAGCACTTTGGGAGGCCAAGGTGGGCGGGTCACGAGTTCAGGAGTTTGAGAGCAGCCTGGCCAATATGGTGAAACCCTGTCTCTACTAAAAATACAAAAATCAGCCAGGCATGGTGGTGTTGCGTGCCTGTAGTCCCAGCTACTTGGGAGGCTAAGGCAGGAGAATCACTTGAACCTGGGAGGCGGAAGTTGCAGTAAGCTGAGATCGTGCCACTGCACTCCAGCCTGGGCAACAGGGCGAGACTCTGTCTCAAAAAAAATAAAAATTAACCAGGCATGGGTGGCGCTCGCCTGTAATCCCAGCTACTCAGGAGGCTGAG